GCACATCAGTGAAACAAAATAGCTTATGTAATCCATGCAGGTGTGTATTTACATGTACAACGTACTAGAAGGCTTCAGAATCACTTTGTAACATACATTCGGTAACTTCCATATTAGATATCTTTTTAACTACGTTCTTCAATGAAAAAGAACATAATCATTTAAACGAACTTAGCTGTCGCCCAGCTTCATAAAATTAAAATATGTAGTCCGTAAATTCAAATATTCAGCAATTTAAATGAATTAGAAAATAATATAATTCAACGTATAACTTAAAATATTAAACTTTCACGATAATCTACGTCGAAAAATACAATACCCTTATTTTCATTCAGAAATGATTAAAACGGAAAATAACACCCGCCATCGAAACTACAAAAATAAATTGAAAGTCAAAGGACGGAAAATCCAGATATCAAATTGCGTCACGTAGAAATGAACTAAAAAATAAATTTTCACACACGTCAAGCGTATTCCCTTTGAGCTTCCGGTGCAAAATTACATTTAGCGAATCAGAGATTCCCGTTGCGAAAAACTCGCCCCCCTCTAGAATTGATAGTCCCCCGCCTCGTTGGTACATCATCAGCGAATCAGGAAGATAGCAGGTTGTAGCCCCGTATAGAGGTACCTTTCTTTCCCAGTGGGTTACTGCGGCGCTTAAAATAAAGTCGGCAGATAAAACGGAATGGCCGAGCAAATTTTTCGCCGCTATTGACGACGCAGCGACTTTCCCCGCGAAGAGGCCACTAAGTGGTCGGAAACGGCCACTATATCAAGGAAAGATAAGCCGCTTAATTTCGAACAAGATTAGTCTGGACGTTCAATCTCCTATATCGTCTCCTCTTTGGCACGTAACGGCGCCAGTGTTCCTAGCCCGGGGTTAATCTCGGGATTAATCCGGAAACGAACCTTCCTAGTATCATTTTTCCGCGGTCGTTCATATTTCCAGTTTATATCACCGAGTTACGCCCGATTTCTCTCTATCGCCGCCCTCGAAATTTTTGCACTTTTTCCGGCCGCGCGAGAAATGAACGAAGCGTGACAAAAAAAAATTGTACACGCATCGAGCGCGGAGGGGAAGCCCGAAATTTTACAAAAAAGGTATCAAGCTTGACCAGCGTAAATCAAATATTATCGTTACGAATAAATACGCGAACATCCGCAACGGCGTACGCTGAGAATGCGAGAGTCGCTGGTGGAAATTAGCAGCGATCGGGGGTCGAAGGGGGAATCAGTAATGACTATGATACCGATTTTCCTTTTATACTATGCAATTTGATCCTTCGCACTTGAATAATTTCCGCGCAATTCCACGCCACCTTCGATAAGCCGATATCTGCATGGTTTGCTGAGTCCATAAATTAAGCACGAAGTTCGATTCCTGCTCTTTGGTAATCCCTTCATTGCCATACGAGAGACTAGGTCATTATAACTTTGAGGCGCATTTGCGCGTCCTAGTTGCACCATGGGAGAGGGGACGCCGTGTTCTCTGAGGAAGAGAACCGGCAACTGTCTGACGTTTCGTTACATTATTTACAATTGGAGCGTCAACTCTGTTGAAATAAAAATTGCAAGAGCGCAATGGTTGATAGAAGTTATAACTGTGTAACGGGGTCGAGTGCTTTTTATGGGAAACGAGGGGAAGAAACGAGAAATACAGAGGTGATTGTTTTAAGAATTATCGTGGTTATTTTAAATGATAGTAATAAGGGATGAATTCGTTTAAAAGGTAAGAACAGGATAGAAATTTGTATGCTTCTTTCAAAGATAAAGATCTTGTAATAAAATTTTCAAGAGACCATTACCGTTTTCGGTTTGTTACATAAAAAGTTTGTTAGATAAAAATAACCGAATGAAAGAAATCAACCTGCTTCGAATTAAAAGCCGATATTAGACAATCGTAAATCCACAAACTTACGACCCCCAGATTTCCGTCCAGAAAAACAAACGAGCTACTATTTGCGACCCTTTCGAGACCTCTTCACGGTCAAATAAATTTCTTACTTTCGAGCGGAGTCGACTCTACGTTACTATTGAATTCAAAGGGGTGTAATTTATCGCACTGATTTAACCTCCTCTTAAACGAGCAAAGAAAGGAAGGTAAACTTGTTTGAGTAAGAGGAAACATGGTAACCATTAAAGAGCTTCGGCACGGAAAAAATTCATTTGAATTGCAAATCACAGTTAAGGCATTATATAATGATTCTCCCCCTGTACAATTGCACTTCGGAGATTTCCATATAACAATAGTTTCGTACAACTAGTCCGATATTGAACAAAATAGTGTTTCTTACCAGAAAGATACACCTTTATCACAGCTATATACTATAATATACAAACAGATTTCCTCCAATCAAATACTATTTAAATATCTTTTCCGTACATACAAATTATTTTATGAAATCATTCCATAGAATTCGAATCCCACAAAAAATATTTCGTTCAGCAGCCAATCAGGGAAATCATAGGTCGAAATCATCTGCATATCGTCGAAACAAACATTTCCTTCCTCCGAATAGCAAAATATCGAGCGACCAACGTCTCTATCTGCATTTTCCTCCCGAACGTGGAACAATATTAACAGATCCGTCCGAGGCCGCACCGCGTATTTCCCTCGCGAGATTTCCAACGGCCCCTCCCCTCCCGCTGCTCGTTTTTAGCCGTGCCCGTGCCCATTGAAATGCGCAATTCAAAAGAGCACAACAAGCGAACCTCTTTACAGTGTTCGCTCGTCGCGTGTTACTTAACAACGCGGCCGCCCTTTCACCCGAACGGAACCCATGAAACTATCCCCGCGCGAAATCGCATTTCGCCGCGCGCCGCGGCCATAATACGTCGTCACGATAGTAAACTAGATTTTCCCTTCAAAAACAATCACGGGAACGTCAACCCCGTCGGCGGCGCGGAATAAAAAGAAGAAAAAAAAGAGAGAGATAGGATGACAAGGGAAGCGCAAGCGCGACGAGACTGCGAAAAGGCAGGGAGAAGAACGGTGAAACCGTGGAACGAGTCGCGGTGAAGAGCCTAGAAGCTATTTCGATAAATTCACGATAAACCATCGAGAGCTTTAGCCCGTTTCCCACCCCTGTACGTAATTTCCCGAAACTGCCGGCCGTATTTTCGTGGATGTCCTTATTCTTTTCCACGGGGCCTGCAAAGCAGACGTAAAACCGTCGCCGTCGGGTTAT